AATCCCTTGAGTCATTTGTACAGGTGATCTGTTTCTGTCCCAGTAAGCGTTCGATGAGAATCGACGTCTAAAAAAGTCTGCCAACGTTACCCAGATATTGAAAGGTTTCTGTAAAGTTGGACTGGAATTATACCATAAAAGGAAAGACTACTTGGAGGGTATTTTGCAAGCGGATCCATCCAAACTGTTGAATCAAGACCGAAAAATAATTGGCATAACTTAACAATTTTTATCTTAAAAAATTGATCCCAATTTGCTCCCTTGAAATCTGAATTTCCCATCGTAAATATTCTATTTAATGAGATATTCGTAAATAAGGAATAAAAAATTTGTTATATGTGAAGAGATATTAAATGGTTTTTTAGAACAGTATTATAGTACCAAAAAATTACTCCGGATCAGTTTTATAAGATCCAATATTCAGATATCTTAAAAAATTGTTGCATATGCTTGTCGATATTGCATATGTTGTCTATAAGTTCTGACGTCATAAACGACCGTTAACGATACCCAGCGAATCGAAGTGTCAGTGACATCTGTCTTTTTTTGTTGAGGCTGAAACGAAATATTAATGTTTCTTAACAGCCTCTGGCACAACAATTGATTTCGATTTGCTCATTCAGAATCTATATAAGATTGTTCCCATCGCAAAATTTATATTCGATGAAATGTTCATAAATGAAAAATATAAAATTTTTTTTCACAAACAGATAGTAAACCACTTTTTCATAAAGATGTGTTGGTTGTTACTAACTCACTTGCTCATTTCTCTATAACTGAATAAAATCTATGTATAAAATATTTATTTTCTGTCTATGTATAAAAACCATTTTAAGCTATGCTTAAAAAAAAAGGAGTTGTAATAAAAGTTTAAATGCTAAAATTGTAATCAAAATAAAATTTGAAGCTTCTAATAAGATTTATATAAAATGAAATGAGTAAATTTACAATTTAAAAAGAAAAGAAGAATTGTGGCCAACTTATCTTATACCCGTACCATAGAATGCAACGAGTATTGGCTTGATATTTTGGTCTGGTTGTTTCTTTTAGTCCCATCTGACGATCATGCATTAGTAAGAATCCATGCACGAACAACACTTAAAGGACTGTATACTGATTTTTGTACTTAACCGCTGCAATCAGAGAATGATAAGTCTTTGATTGTCGGAAGAAAGGAAAGAGAAATGACCAGAATAACAATATTCGATAAGCTGCGAGTCTCGAACCTACGTACCATGAGTTACGAGAATTCGGTTCTAGCCACTTTCCCATTTCATCCTTAAAGACAAGACTCAGAATACATCGTATTTCATGGTAAACACGGTTTTATAAATAGATCTGTTTACGATGTTGGAATAACGATTAGACAAGGATTGTGGTATCAGTTCAAGAAGTTAAATCTAAATTGGGATTTATGTTATTCTTAAAAAATAAGGTAATAATAAATCGGCCGATTTTGATGTGTTTCCGATAATACACAAGTGTGCTAAAATTGGAATATTGCATTCAACATGCATATATAAAATATTTAATCCGATATGCCTATT